AAAAAAAAAAAAAAAAAAAGTGTTATTTTCTTCACATGCTTTATCGTTGATTTTTTTTTTTTTTTTTCTAATTGTAAAATATTATTTACAAGGAAATTGATACTTTATTTTTAAAATAATAGTATTTAGTTGAATCTTGAAGTAAGTGACACGTGGAGACGAAGAAAATATTAGAAGCGGGATTAAAGGATTGGGTTAGTTGGTCTCTTTTTCTTTTATCCTTTCTTTTTCCAAAAGTTGGGTCGTAAAAATTTAGAACCTGCTTTAAAATATTAATTACCAAAAAAGATATATAAAAATATATTACTTTTTTTCTTCAATAAATAACCGGAAATGGGTTGAAATATCTATTTAATTTACTAAATTTAAAATTAACTAAATCTAATAAATTCTTTAAGTTTTAAATTTTGTGATAAATAAGTTATTCACCTATTTAATATTTTAAAACTCACGAATTTATTGATTTATTGATTTATGTCTAATATATTACTTAATAAATACAAATTTCAAATGTATTTGACCTATCAATTATTTTTAAAAAGAAATAAATATTTTTAAAACAAAATTAAAAAGCTTAGAGAGCTATTATATATTTTTTAAATTTTATAAACCTCTAGGTAAAAGATATTAGACTAAATTTATAATATAACTGGTTTTTATAAATTATGCTATAATATTAAAATTTAAATTTTTAAGAAATTATAAATATTATATTTTATTTTTGTGTACAAAATATTAATATTATTTTATTGTTATTTTTTTAAATAGCTATATTTTAAATTATACGTTTAGAATTTTTTTTAGGGCAGCAAAAATATATTAAAGAATTCATTAAGATGGAAATAGAAACAGTTGGCGGGAATGAAGAGGTTGAAGCCCTTTCGAATCTCAGCCACGTGGATATCTCCGTTTCGCACCGGCCGTCATGTCTCGGTCTTTTTTAAGGCTTAAATACGGAGCGAGTGACGCACTCCACTTTTCGCCTCGTGTCCACTCTCTGCAACCACACGCGATCTTCAAACATCCAGACCTATATTCTCTACTCCCACTCACTTTCCTCCTTTTTCTCCATATTCGATTCTCTCTATCTCTCTCTGTTTTTCTGCAATCGGCCATGGGAGACGACGGACATGTGAATGCTATGGAGGACGATGAAGCTTCTGCCGCCGAGCAACGCCGAGCCATCGATATTTACCCTCTCAGAAACTATTTCTTTGGATCCAAAGAGGCTCTGCTTTTCAAGAACGAGGCCTTGGCTGATCGCGTCCAGAGGATGAATTCCAAGTATCCATTCTCCCTTTAATCCCTTCTCTACACTGCCTGTTTTCTGTTTACGTCCTTCAATTTATCTAATCTGTTTTCTCGCCTGATTTTTTTGCAGCTATGCCGCTTACGGATTGAGAACTTATGTCGGAGCAGTTTTGCTGGTTCGTTCCTTCTCCATTCACAATGCTCGTATTTTTGTTGCTTTAATTCACTTCTATTTCACCAATCTTTTGGCTCTTGGTTATCGATTTCTTTAAGCACCTAGAATTTCTTACTGGCTCTGTTGATCTCATTAATTCAGTCCATTTTGGGAGAAATCTTCTCATTGAATCTGAATCTGCTATAAAATTTATAAATGAACATTGCATCTTGCGATCAGAAGCAGTGCTTAGTTGCTGAAAGTTTTGAAACCGTCCGTTGTTTCTCAAATTAGGTTGAACTATTTAAACATCCTCATTTGTTGCTATTGCGATTACGAAATTCAATTGTCCAGCTTCCTGGTGGTCGCCTAAGGCCTAATGAATCAGGTAACTGTGTGCTGTGAATCTATTCTGCAGCTGTGTTTGTGTAACATAGTTAAGCTGATGAATATTTGATCATGGTGGATGATCTCAATTTACAGATCTTGATGGTCTGAGACGAAAGCTGTCAAGCAAGCTTTCTGCCATTGGAGCCTCTGATGCATCTGATTGGGAGGTACTGCAGTTTCCAAATCTGTTCATTTGATTTGAATGATTGAATTTGAAGTGCTCTTCTTTTAACGTTTAGATCGGCGAGTGCCTTGGGATGTGGTGGAGGCCTGACTTTGAAACCTTTGATCCACACTTGTCCAGTAATGTAAAAGGCGCCAAGGTAGTCATTTGGACACAGACTACTTCCTTGCCATGGCTTTTCCTATAACTCACTCACTACCTGATGCAGGAGTGCACTAAACTCTTCCTGGTCATGCTGCCGGAGAATCGAGAATTCTTCGTGCCAAAGAACCTCAAGTTGATAGCAGTTCCTTTATGCCAGATTCAAAAAAGCCATGAGGTATCCTTATCAACACACTTTATGGAAGTCCAATTTATCACGTTTGCAAATCATAGTTTTTCCTTGAAAGATTGAAAGAAAAGGAAAGACGGTTCAATTTTGTTGGGGAAATTCTTGAAATAAATCTCTATTGGGTTCATAGGGCATTAGGTCGGATTAGGATTTTTTTAAATGGAATTGTAAACTTTTTCAACTTGATCCTAACCCAACTAACTTGATTTAGATTTAGGTGGTTCTAGTTTAGATCATTTATTCTTTTTTTTTTTTTTTTAATGAAAATAAAAGGTTAATTCTTAAAACATTGATTTATTTATTTTTTAATGTTGAATTTAGATTTACAACTCAATTTCAATATATATTTTGAAAAATGAGATAATAAGTATATAATTGTATCTAAGCAAATTTTTAATGAACTTATTACCGGATCTAAATTGTATGCGTTGTGTTGAATTATTAGGTTTATTTGGGTCATTGATTTTTTTAAGCACTTTTGATTGTTGAATTATAGTAAGCTGCACTAGTCAACTATGTGTCAATCCTTTGATCTTGTAGAC